GCTATACCCCCGCTATACCCGTGCTGCGTTTTTTTTGTTTTTTTTTCCAGTAAGAGCGTTAGATTTTGTTACCAGGCACGATCTGGCCCTTATGAGCCCCGTAGGCTGTACGCGCACATGCGCTCTCTTTTTCCTATTTTTTCCCATTCGTGCTTCCATATCAGTCTGTACACCTGGTCCCCGACGGACAAACTCTGCCCTCCAGTAGCAGTTGCCCCTACGTTTCTTCCTCGTTCCCTGCCTCCTCTTCTTTTCTTTCACGCAGTACATCCCCTCTCTCACTCTTTACCGTCCCCTCTTAGTTAGCTGTGGCTGGCTGTCAGGGTCCTAGGTGCCCACTAGTTGTAATTCCCCCCTGGCTTTTTCGCCTTAGGTTAGTGGTCCCGCGAGGCCTACACCCATCCTCATACTCAGAGGTACTACGCCCCTTGGTCCAAATCATAGTTAGTCACCTCGCATTGTGGCATAGAGAGGGCCTCATCTGTCACTCCGATTCTATCTTATGTTTAACTGTCACCGAGAGGCCAACACCCCGCCACAACGTTCAGTGGCCACGTTATCCCCTTGCGCCAATGCATAGATCGAGCCTCTCATGCCGCTTGGCATCTAGCAGGGCCTCACCTGTCACCAGACCTAGTTTTAATTGTTTCGCCTTTTGGTTTAGCTAGTATGCTAGTATGCTAGTTAGTTGTTGCTGGCTGTCAGGGTCCTAGGTGTCCACTAGCTTGTAATTCCCCCCTGGCTTCTTCACCTTAGGTTAGTGGTCCCGCGAGGCCAACACCCATCCTCATACTCGGAGGTACTACACCCCCTCGGGCCAAATCATAGTTAGTTGCCTTGCACCGTGGCATAGGGAGGGCCTCACCTGTCACTCCCATTCTATCTTATGCTACAAGTCACCGAGAGGCCAACACCCCGCCACAACGTTCAGTGGCCACGTTCTCCCCTCGCGCCAACTCATAGATAGAGCCTCTCATGCTGCTTGGCATCTAGCAGGGCCTCACCTGTCACCAGACCTAGTTTTTTAATTGTTTCGCCTTTTGGCATTAGCTAGTATGCCAGCACGCACACATACACTTTCACGCTCACACGCATGTTGGGTCGTCTATGTGCTGTTTCTTCGTCTTTTTCTAGCAGGTCTCAGCTGCTAGGCATGGTATTTTTTCCGCCCGGGCTCTCTGGCTGGGTCTGGTTCTCATCACCCTATGGAGGTTTTGGCTACGCCTACCTTTTTCAGGTCCTGGGCGCTTCTCGCTTCTCTGCGGTTTTTCGCGAGTCGGTTTATTCCCCCCCCCAACCGGCAGCCTTCCGGTCAGCTGTTCTCTCAGTGTCTGTCCACCTACAGGGGTAAGGCTGCTGTCGGCTATGGGGCGGTGTCGGATGGTGGTTTGGGGTAACTGGCATCTGCCGCTTTGGTTGGTTCCGAATCCGGTCTTCCTGCACCTCTTTCGTACGATCGGTTCTGTGCCTCCTTTATGCTTTTTAATGTGGCCATGCCTACGGCCTCTCCCGCAGCCGCTACCATTCCTGGCATTTTTCTGGGCTTGTTCGCGGGCTGCCAGCCTTGTGAGCTCGTATTTGCCGTTTTCATGTCTGGCTCTTGTCTTTCTAGCACTCGCAGTGCATGTGTTCGGGCCTTCTCCCCCTTCGAGGCTCCTGTCTCACATATACCGTTTACTGTCCCTGTTATGTTGTCTGCGATTGCCTTTCGCTTCTTTTGCCACCTCTTACTTGCATCAACTCTACCTATCCCTTCACATGTTGTACAGGTTTCTAGTCACACGCAGTTTCATGTCCTCATACCAGTTTATTACCATACTCAAGGGGTCAAGTTCTGGGAATTTTCCATCTCCGGATTTCCCATCAACATCCAAGTTTTACAATCACTATCAGACCTATTTAATACTTGTCATAACGACCGGGCATCAACTTTCAATGTAGGGCGATATCTGCTTGATCCAAGGATAAATCCGACTGCTTTCTGGGGTCAAGAAGGAATTTTTCCCTAGCTTGTTGCAAATTGGTAAGCGCATTAAACTGGGTTTTTTGCCTTCTTTTGGATCAACCGTTTTAATCATCAGATGTGAGGTAGGCTAGAATTGGGGGACGCTAGTCTTTATCAGCAAGGTAACTATGTAGTCTAGTTGTCAAGCTGCTATACAGTTTTCTCGTGGTCCCACATATTTCCCACAGTCACCACATCATCTTGCAGCATTGTCTCAGGAAATCTCACCTACTCATGAAGTCTATTGATTACCTTCTCTACCCAACACCTAGTCTACACTAGATGGCCTACATGTTTTATATTCCTTACTTCCCCTTGCACAAGTTAGAGGGCAGTTCAAAGCACCGGGTACCTTTATTACTCGCTCAGCTGTTACCATACGGCTAGGCTATTTAAGGTTGTTGATTGCTTTTAATCAGGTATCCTTTTTGCCCTCTTTTATTACAGGCCTACCACAACATCGGTTCCGGCACACCACAACCGACTTATTCCCCCCTTTTTTATTTCCTTTACGGCCTTATTTGCCCCTCACACAAATGTGAAGGGTTGGCCTGCAGTTGTGGGAGGGGCATGTTAACCTACTTAAACCCCCTCCTCACCTTCCTCAGTCCCGTTCGTTTTTAGCGATTCGCATGTCCCCACCCTCCACTCCCTTTATTTATACTTTTAATTACACCTAATGGGCCCTCTTTCTTTACAGGCCTACCACAACGTCGGTTCCGGCACACCACAACTGACTTATTCCCCCCTTTTTTATTTCCTTTACGGCCTTATTTGCCCCTCACACAATTCACTTTTTAACAAATAGACCCAATAATATATTATCGTGGCCAACCAGCAGTAAAAAAGCAGTATAATGATGAAGTGCATTATTCTCACATGCTGACCATTATTGCACAAGTAGTGAATCTGCACTCCCTGATATAGGAGCATGTTTTAAGGCACAGCTTGGAAAGGGAAAGGAGATTCTATCAAAGTGACACTCCAGACCCCTAAAGCTTGCAGAAGTGCATCATGTGTGAAGAGTGTCCCCCCCTTTTTTTTTCATTTTACAAAAACTGAAGATTTTAATAGAAATTAGCACTTTTATAAATTAACCTTGTTACATCCCCTGGCATTTAATCATACAACTGGTCCTGTTACTTCCTGGTAGTTTAGTTCGGTGGAACTACACTCAAGAAATAGGCAATTGCTCAGAGCACCAGCCTTGGAAATACATCTCATTGAGCTGCATTGGGAAGTCTATGATTGAACAGCCACAGAAAGTCTGAGCTGGACTAGAAGGGGAGGGTATGAGACAACAGACCTGCTCCCCCAGAAATACCCCGAATGAAAAAAAATGCATCATTAAACTGATGCATGTTTTCATTGGGAGGATATCTACTAAACAGTGTTTTTATTTTTATTTATTGTTATTTTTATGTGGGAAGTGGAGTGTCCCTTTAAACTTTCTTTTACGTTAACCCATTTGTGACATTAGGACATGTCATTATGTCCTGGAAAGCAAATGCGTTCACAAGGTTAGGGCATAATGACACTTCCTAATGTTCTTTTCCCCATAGCACCCGACAGGCATACTTACTCAGCTGTATTCAGTGGGGGACCTGTCTGGCCAGACATTTTCTGATCAATCGGATGTAAGCATTCTTTCTGATTGACCTTACCTGTTAATTTTCTTTCTTTTTTGTTTTTTTTACTGTACCTGCTCATTTTAAAAAGTGGAACCCTTTTAGCACCTATCACAGCTTTTTACACTGCAATCAGTCAGTCCTTTACTTTTTTGGGGTGGGGTATAGGGTTTACATTGGGTGGAAGTGGGAATGATGTAGTGGTTTGAGGGAAATGGTGTTTTGTTAGCACATAATATAAAAAAAAAAATCATACTATTCAGATGACAAAGATTATGCCATTACAATGCATGAGTCAGAGAATGACACATTTGGGGTCACTTATAGTAACACCATTACTGCCCACCCTTACTGCCCTTAAGTTTCCAGCATACCACCAGCACTCAGGATGCCCAAATGTGTTTGGTGAAAAATGAGTACCTCACAACGTTATCTCTTCTGAAACATTGCGACTCCTGAAATCACAACCAGTAGTAAAGTATATCAGTCAGTAAATTATGCCATCATGTAATCAACTCTCTTGACAGTGAGGGTTTGTAACTAACTGCCCGGGGGAAAATTTCAGGCAGCCGGTGGTGTACATTGCGGTTAAAATCCAGGTCAAATGCAGGCCCCCCAAAAATAGGACATTGTTAAATAGCATGAGCAATTTTCAGATTTTCAAGCTTTAGTGAATAACCCTAATTCCATTTATTTATGATTAAGTATATGGATAATATATGGAAAGTGCAAGCAGCTAATGTAAGTAGAAAATATCTAGGATCTGTAAACATACTAAACATATTCTACAAAGAATATTCCAATTTTTTTGTAGAATATTTCTAATTTGGTGGGTATGACTATTATACCTTGTTATAAAAGTGGGAGCTTCCAATTTAGATGAATCTTTATGTGACTTGGTTGCCAAAATATGGTTTCTAGATAAAAGGGAGGTCTTAGTTAGAGCTTGATTTAAAATTTTACTTGAATAGCCTTTTGCTTGGAATTGTGCTGTCATCATTTTAGTTTGTTCGACACAAATTTTGGGTTCAGAACAATTTCTTTTTATCCTTCTAAACTGGCTAAACGGGATATTGTTTAGCCATGTTCTTTTATGAAAACTATTGTGAGGAATAAAACTATTACATGCTACTGTTTTTCTAAAAGTTTTGGTTTCCAATTTGTTATTCTGAATATAAATTTCAAGATCTAAGAACTCAAGTTTTTCTGTGGATTGGTTAAAAGTAAATTTTAAATTATAAGGGTTAAAATTTAAATATTCCTTAAAATTTTCCAACAATTCGATACTTCCCTTCCAGATAAAAATACAATCATCTATATAGCAATGCCATGAGACCAGATTTGCGCCAAATGGGTTGTTTGACCAGATTTGTTCGTCTTCCCATTTTCCCATGAATAAATTAGCATAACTAGGCGCAAATCTGGTTCCCATGGCAGTGCCCTCGATTTGTAGATAATAATGATTGTTAGCCCAAAAAAAATTATGACTGAGAATAAAGGCTACACATTTTACAATATACTCAATTTGATCATTCTTAAGTTCTGAAAAAGTGGCAAGTGCATATTGAATGGCCTCACATCCCTGTAGATGTTCAATAACTGTGTATAGGGATGTGACATCTGCTGTTACTAGAATATATTGTGAATCCCATTCTATACTTGATAAAAAGTTGATAATGTGCGTAGTATCTCTTAAGTAAGACCGTAATTTAGGCACTATCTTTTGTAGGAATTGATCAACATATTCTGATAAATTAGAGGTTAAAGAACCTATGCCAGAAATTATTGGGTGGCCTGGTGGATTTGTAAGCGTTTTATGGATTTTGGGTACATGATAGAATATAGCCATTCTAGGAAATTTGGAATAGAGATAATCATATTCTTTTTTTGGTAAAATATTTCTTTCTTTACCTTCTTCTAATAGTGTTTGTAGTTCTAACTGGAATTCATTAGTTGGATTCTTAGTTAGAATTTGATATGTACTAGTATCTTGAAGTAATCTTTGATTTTCTTTTTTATAATCTGCAGTGTTCAATATCACTAAACCTCCACCTTTGTCCGCTCCTCTTATAGTTATGTTTTCTTCCTCCATTAATTGTTTTAAGGCTCTTCTCTCTTTTTTAGTTAAATTATCTTTAGTATTGTCTTTGAGATTTAATGTTCGAAGGTCTTTCTCCATATTTTTTTCAAAGACTTTAATATAGTCAGTTTTGACTTGTTCTGGGTAGAACATGGACTGTGGATGTAGGTTGGTATGTTGATAAGTACTCGTATTTGATGGAGTTTGGGGTTCTTTATCAAGAAAAAACTTCTAAATGGTTAATTTTCGAATAAATTTATGAAGATCGATAAAAATATTGAATTGTGAATTTGATGAGCTAGGGGCAAATTTTAATCCTTTTTGAAGTAAAGATGTTTCATCTTGTGTTAACACTCTTTGAGATAAATTGAATACATTTATTTCCTTTGTATTTGATTGTGGTTGTGATATTGTTGTCTTGATGGTTCTCCGTCTTGTTCTTTTCTTTGTCTTGGTTTTCTTTTGGGGGATGGTGATTGCGTGTGTTCTCTCCATCTGGTCTCTTGTTCCCTTGATGTCCTTGTGTTTTTTTGGACTGGTGATCTGTGGATTTTCGTGATTTCTTCTTTTTCTCTTGAGTGTATTCTTATACGTTTTCTCCCTAAAAAGGTCCCCAAAAAACTTGTGTTGACCTTGAAGTTGGTGTGATATATGAGACGGTGAATTCAATTTAAATGTCCTAGATGTTGGCTTGTGTTTTATTGATGGTGTGTGAGATTTAAATGTAGAAGAATCTTTTTGTAAATTGTAATTAGGTGGTTTATGATGGTACTGAGTATCAGGGCGTGATGGATATTGATTGTGATGTGAATATGTTTGATGTCTGTACTTACGATTCGGATTTTGATAATTATTTGATCTATATGGTTGGTACTGACGATGTTGGAATGGTTTATAATTGTTGTTGTAATGGTTTTCTTGGTTGTTGAATGTACGTTTTTTCCAATTTCTCTGTCTTCCCAGATTGTAATCTTCTTTATCTCTCATGAGTTTTTTCTGCTTGGTAGTTTTCACTTGAATTTCCAAATCTTTTACTCGTCTTTCTATTTTGTCTAACAATTCTATATATGTTCCATCTTCTACTTGTGGAATTAATTTCTCTTTCATTTCTTTTATATCTTTATCCATTTGTTCTAATTCTTTTTTCTTTTCGTTTATAAGAAATATCATAAGGAGTAAGGAACCTTTATCTAAAAGTTGATCCCATTTAGTAAGTAAATTAACATCATCTTTTTTGTAAGCAAGAGTTTTAAAGAGGCGGAGACCTCTTGGGACTAGATTATTTGAGACATAAAATTCTAGACTTGCTATATCCCACCACAGATGTACCTCTTTTTCCATTATTTTGCCTAATTTGTAAATAGATGATCTAATATCTAAAGTTTTATTAGCTTCTTTTGTACTTTGTACTTTTGTGCTCATTTCTTTAGTGCCTTCATTAATCATTGTATCAAATGCATTTCTTCTGTTGTTTCTAATAAAATCAAGATCTCTATGTAATGCCATATTTATTTCTCTAATTAGTGGAATGTAAATGAAGGGTTAATGGGTGAGATTACTTTAAAAGTAAACCTCTGGTTAGAGAATGGATAATGGCAAGGCTAAACTACTCTACTGGAAATAAAGAGACTCCACTAAAAATCCCTAATGATGCAAATGGAAGAAAAAATTAATTATAAAATTAATAAAATATCCAGGAATAGTAGATGCCTTAAAAATTAGTATTGTAAAATATAAATAAAGTAAAAAATAAAATAACAAAAAACAGTTGTGTCCAATATGGAATTCAAATCCAATTGTTAACAGTCTCTTTGCTAAAAAGCTATATCATAATAGCTGTAAATGAAATAAATAAATAATCTTTTTAAATCTTTGTTGTAAGTGGAGTCTCTTTATTTCCAGTAGAGTAGTTTAGCCTTGCCATTATCCATTCTCTAACCAGAGGTTTACTTTTAAAGTAATCTCACCCATTAACCCTTCATTTATATTCTACAAAGAATTTTAAAATTGTTTAAGTTGTATTTTTATAGTATTATATTATTAAACGCATACACTTGATTCTTGAGTTTACTCATTGCACAGAACCTAGACTAGAGCAAGTGAGGTTTCATTGCATTAATTACTGTGCAATATTACAATAATTATACAGTTATAAACCCATTTTTAAAAAGCATGCTCAAGCGAATAATTGTGTTTTAAGATTGTATGTTCACATTTGTCTTATTTATCTAAGTAAACATTTGGCATGAAAGAAAAATATCACTGCAATATTACTGTATGTGAATCTTGATTTTTTTTTTTTTTTAGAATAGATTACAGCCAACACGTTAACAGCATAATTTATCAATGTGAATCTGTGATGCAGTTAATATATTTATAGTGACATTTTTGGGGGGTGAAAGCAGCCATGCATGATAAAGGTATAATTATTATGATTGATAATTGTGGTTATTGTTTTAATTTCCATATTGCTTGTGGGAATACATTTTCTTTTTTATTCTATGGCAAAATATTTATTTTGGGCACCCTCCGAGAGTTTTTTTTTTTTTTTTTTTATAATTATGGTTTACTGACATAGGGAAACTTTATGTCAGAATATTTTCAAGAGAAAATTCACTGTTATATATGATGCCTGCAAGGCTTCGCAATTGTTGTACCTTACTTGTAATTCACAGTAGCATGTAATGCAGGTAATAATTTATAATAAATATGTGATAAGAATCTATAGATAAAAGTGATAGTATATAACAAATATAGCCCATTATTCGTCAATACGAGGCCTTTTAAAACAAACTTAGCATATATAAATTTTGTATTAACCCCTTAAGGACACAACTTCAGAAATAAAAGGGAATCATGACGGAATATTTCCGTCATGTGTCCTTAAGGGGTTAAATATGTTTATTGTCATCACAACAGCATCACGGGTATCAAACATTTTTCTGTTAATACAAATGATCACCTACGTAGAGGTTTATAGATCTGAACAAGTAAATAAACGCAAATATTCGCCTGCGCAGAGGCGTGCTTAACGGTTCGTATACATAAAAGCAGATAATTGCCTCCTTGAAGGCGTGCGGTTCAAATCATTTAGAATTATCAAGTACAATTATTATACATCTGGGTATGTCTTAATGGCAGTAAGATGCCTGTTATGGAAGCGGTAGTAAATGACAGTAACCTAACGCCCAATGGGGCAATGTGGCCGGGAAACATAGTCGTCTCACCATTGAATTAGGACACGTAAACGTATCTGTATTCGCATGGACCCTGGTATGCCCCTCTCAACATATAAACGTCTAGTCCGTGTGTGCCTGCTGCAATGGTTATTGCCGTATATTCATATACAAGCTATAACTGATAGTGGTAACATAATGAATCTGTGGATTACTAGATGATTCTGTAAGTAACTTGTTATATTAATAACATCTCATGGGTCATATAGATAACACCGCATATGTAATTAGTGGTAAACCCATTAAGAAATATTATCTGTCAAGTTTTTAACCTAAGGAGTAAGGTTGTCGTGTGCGCAGTGGTAAGCGACTTTTACCGCCATTGTCATCCCATACCGCTTCAATTAACCAATTATGTATAGTGTATTGGTGGCTCATGGCGTGTCATATTTCTGGCATGCGGTATTAGGGAATGCATAGACAAATAACTATAATAACTATAACGGTGTAGGAGCAGAGCCAATTGTAATGTCTGTCCGATAAGGGCCTCTCATGGTTTGGCCGTGGTGCGCCACCCGGGGCGCCGGGTCTCCGTCAGTGTCCCCCCAGGACGGTCCCAGCCCAACACCTGAGTCCTTTGCGATGCTGTGGGCACTCGGTGGCCGACATGGTCCGCTGGACCCCCACACCTAGAGTCCACGGGCCACCCGCTCCCTGCACCTCCCCATCACTGCCCCAGACCCAGCGAAGATTGTGTCCCAGTGTCTCTCCCGGTACCGGCCTCACACTTGGGACCGGTGCACGCCGCTCCCGGCCACCGGTCAGCCGGGAGGGCCGCTCAGTCCCGCCCCACAGGGCTCTCGGCTCCAGGGACATGGCCCTCTGGGGACCTCCCAGACCCAGAGGCCCGGACACTCACTTTTCCTGCGGGCCGGCAGGCATCGCAGAGGGTCCCTCAGGGGCCCGGCAGCACCGTGGTCCGCCCCGGCCGTCCATGTCGACTCCCCTCGGTGAGCTTTGGTGCCTCTGCTCTCCACTTACAATGGTGCCTGTGAGGAGAAGCCATGTTGGTAGTATGGCGCAGCTGCGTCGGATCCCCAACCTCCTGAGCTTCTGTGTCAGTGTGATCCTCCTCTGTCCCTGCCGGGATGATTTCACCGTTTAGTATTTTCCTCCTCGGTGTTGATGTCTGGTACAGCTGGCTGGCCGTCTCTCTGCCAGTGCCAGTTTAGGCAGCCGGCATAGTGTCCACGTGGGGACTCCCGTCGTGGCTTCTGTCGCCGCCATGTGGCCGGGATATCCCCCACCGGCCGGGGGGGAAAGCGGGGCCGTGCCCCGGGCCAAGGGTCTCCACACGTCCGGGATGCTTTCCCTGCTGCGGGTTGGCCCTTTTATGACAATGGCAGCCGGTACTCAGAGGCTGTATGTAGGCCGAACCCAATCTTCTCCGCCTGCCTGCCACACTATCAGCTTCATGCGGGTTTCGGGTAGGTGTCGGTGCTTTCCCACTTTCCGATGCGACAAATTTTGCTATTCTTTGAGTGGGTTTGGGTATGTTTAATGCTGTTTCGGGCGGTTCGTTGCTGGAGCCCATGTGGATGGCGACCAGTCGGCCCGGCGGCCCGGCCCCGCCCCCCATATATAAATTTTGGAAAGGTGTTTAGCAAAGTTATTAATGAAGAGAAACTTTTTTAAATGGTTAAGAAAAAAAATGCATTAGTTCAGACTTGCTTGTTAGGACCATTTTAGAAGGTTGCAAGATGGCTGTAAATCAAAGAATAAATTGTATCAGTACGTTAGTGTCATAACTGATCTATGGATCATATTTTAAAAAGTGACAGGTAGAAATGAGAAAGTAGTTAAAATGGTTTTGATGCAAAGTAAGAAGAATGAGAAATCATATGTTAGAGCAAAAAGAGGTTTACCAAATTATTTGAAAAGCATGTTTTCTAGATTTGGAAAATGTTTTGCAGTAATGTTATTAGAATGTCAAAGGCTCATTATACTAGTTGGCATTGTAATAAGCATAGAAAAAAACATCAGAAAAAGATGCATGTGCCATGTGAACAAGTTACTCGACATACCTGCCAATACTAAGAAAATGTTTCTACTTTTTAAAGCATTTTACAAAAAGTAACATTAATAATTGTTTCAGATCTTTCTTCTTATATAATCTATCACAATTGTAGGTCTTCATGCAGATGTAACTGTCTGTCTACTGGTGTTTGATGACCACCAATAGTAGTAGTTCCATGGCTTGTGAGAGTTGGAACACCTATTCCTAGGTCGTGAGGAGTACTGACACCACCATTGCCTCCACCAAAACCACTTTTAATAGTATTCAGCCTCACGATAGTGGGATTAGCAGCAGGTCTTTTAGGTCTGATTTAACAAGCAGGAGACAACAGACATTTTTTGTTCCCATCCTTTTCATGCTGATATAACTTATCCTTCTGTAACTCCCTCTATCATAGCAAGTTCAATCGTTATACTTTCTTGGTGTGCCACCAAGAAACAACTAAGGGAGAGCACAACAGAGTCTACTTTGTGGGAGTCACCAGAGCCACCACCATTGCCTCCACCAAAACCACTTTTAATAGTATTCAGCCTCACGATAGTGGGATTAGCAGCAGGTCTTTTAGGTCTGATTTAACAAGCAGGAGACAACAGACATTTTTTGTTCCCATCCTTTTCATGCTGATATAACTTATCCTTCTGTAACTCCCTCTATCATAGCAAGTTCAATCGTTATACTTTCTTGGTGTGCCACCAAGAAACAACTAAGGGAGAGCACAACAGAGTCTACTTTGTGGGAGTCACCAGAGCCACTATTTAGCGAAGATGCAGAGTACAAAATTGTGTTCCTAATGTGTGATGTTGGTATTGATGGTGGTGATGAATCTGATGATAATTCTGCTGATATAACCACTGCTGATATAACTCTTTTACCTC